CAGGAGCGGACACATATAGAGGGCAGACGGGGTGTATATACATGCATATATCGCTGAGGAAAAGAAAACGAGAAAAGACACGCGAGCATACGCCATTAGCATAAAAAACGAGGCAGCGTCGGGGGACAACCGTGTGTATACTCTTCCCGGACACATACATGCGCCAAGCAAAAAAAATCAATGGGTATATATTGCCGTTTGTGCCCGCATTGCACGCATAAACGCACATGCAGGCCGCACGGGGCACAATTTGGCGGCTCTCTCTGCCGGGGAAGCCCTGAGCCCATCCCTGCTGCTGCTCAAAGAGGCACCGCCACGGCGACGAGGACAGCGACGGCAGCCAGCACAAGAGCCCCAACACGAACAGCCACGACACTGCCATCATTCTTGTTGGGGCCACCATTGTCGTCCTTGTTTGGGGAGCTGAGGCTGACAAGGCTGCTGCCGTTGGCGGCGATCGTGCACACATCCTCGTACTTGGGACACTTGAGCTCGCCGCTCTCAAAGTCCTCCGACTTGAGCTTGATGGATCCGCCCTCGAGGCACGGCACATACTCACTGGCGCCGAGGTACTTCACCTTCACCGTGCCGCCCTCCCCGCACTGCACCTGTGCGCACACCGCGCGGAGGTCGATGTCGCCCAACTCGGCAGCACCAAGGCCCTTTAACTTGAGTGCTTCCGCATCGAGGCACCACGAGCCGCTCCCTTGGAGAGATCCGGGGAAGTTTTGTTCGCGTGCCACGCTGCAAAAAAACTCTGGACCACCCTTATCCGGCCAAAAAATTGAGCACGTTTCGCTCGGGGCACCGCCGAGTCCAGCAATATTCGGATCACATGGCCCGAGGGCTTGACGGTTGGACGTGCAACGAACTGTTTTGTCGTCGGTCTTTTTATCGCAGAACATGCCGGGGTATTTGGCGGAGGTTTCCTCCGAGCACGGGCTCTTGAGGAGATCGCAGCCGGAGTTGCTGCCCCACGCCATCGGCTCCTCCATCCCCCACACGGCCTTGTAGTAGCCGAGGTCCTCAAACGCCGCCATCGTCAGCGCGGTGTAGAGGCCGGCGTTCATTCCACCAAGAAAGCTCATCAGCTCGTCCTTCGCGTTGCGCGGCGACCAGTAGGGTTGCACCGCACCGTTCATCTTGAGCAGCTCCATGCCCGGGAGGTCGGTGCAGCCGTAGTGCGCCTTCGTTTTTTCCAGCGTAAGAGGCGACTTCACCACCGTCACAGGGTTGGGGTTGCCGCGCACGTTATTGACGTCCTCCAACATGCCGAGCTTCGTCATCTGCTCCACGCCGAAGCCAAGTGCATGGGCAATTGCATGTGCAGCAGCGCGGGCAGAGTGCATGACGGACAACTGTGGAGAAGGCGAGAGATGCAGCGCACCGGCAATTGGACGACCATTTGACCCAACGGCACACGAAACTGCCCACGTCTCGGCACTCGCCCCGGCAGCCACGTAGAGCACCATGTCCGCATTGGCAACTCCCGTTGTTTGATGCTCGTCGGGGACTTTGAAGTACTGGCACCGTCCCTGCGTGTCAGTGAACTGGGGAACAACCAACGGGCCCTCCACCCGCTGAACGAGCAGACGCTCCGCGTGCAGCTGGACAGCCACAGGGATGACCTCGTTCACCAGGGCGCTCTTCCTTTCCGCGGTCAGAATGTACGTCTCTGCACAAACCTCAGTGCCACCCTTAAAGTCGGGCTTGCTCTCCCCCTCCTT